TTTAAAATATTGTAAGCATGCATGTGGACCGATGTGGAACATTGTCTCTTCTTATTATTGTAACATAACCTCGAATAATTTGGAGTATAGATGAGATCTGTCTGCCTTTGCAACTTTATCATTATTGCCTTCTTATCTTCGTTTTCCTCTTACTTACAACTACTTGAACCATTTATTTGACATATTTACTCTTTATATAGGTTATAGATGATAGAAAGAAATTAATCTCTGTATACCAAGATTATTACTAATACAAATCTCGTTTTGGATGATAGGAAGGACAAATTAGTGATAATGACAAGATATATTAACCATTTATTTGACATATTTTGTTCGTTTATGTATCTAGATGTTGATATTTATAACAAAGTAATAGTTTATAAAACTTGTTTAAAAAGGACTAATATTTGGTGTGGTTTTGGTTTATGGTATCTCCAAACTCACTCCGTTTTTTACTCTAAAAATGGAGTTTAGAGTCAAATTTGTTCCAACTCTATTCGATTTCTAACTCCAAAATAAAGTAAAAGTTAGGTTTAATCTAAATACGGAGTAATCCCATTTATCACTCCATTTTTTTTTACTTTTCACTCTATTTTCTATTCCAAAATAGACTAGGGTTAGGAGTAAAACAAAATTCCATTAGAAAGTTATTCTATTTTAGAGTAAAAAAATGAAGTTATGGGTTGGAGTTGTTCTTATATGAGATAGTGTGTGGGGAGAGATCTCTACAATTCGAAATGCGACCGTTATGGGGAAATTGTTTTGCTGTTGAGTGTGTCCATAAGACAACGACTAACGACAAGCTTACGGTGACCTAATCCAATTCATGTTACATTCTTTCTTATTCTGGTAATGCTAAATTGGAATTAATGTTTAAACTAAACTTTTTATTCGAAGTAGTTTAATTTTCGCTTTTACTTTTCAATTAATCTTCTTTTTTTTTTTTTGTAAACAGTGGGAGTTCCAAATTTTTGACTCATAATCTTTTCAATATTTAGAATCAGTAGATATTCCGATTTAAGGAATAACGCTGCGTTTCAAAGGAAATTTAAATATGGAACACAAAACAACCAATCTCATTGTCTTACCACTAAACCACCGCATCTTTGATTATATTTCACTTAAGTCTAGGTGTAATAAAATTGTTGGTGAGATAATATTTGACATAGTTGAGAAGGTCATTAATATATACATATGGGTGTTCTATGAAAGACGGATTGTTTTTAATTACTTGAAGTTAAGAGAGGAATTCTTATCTAAAGATCCAATATACTAAGTTTCAAAAATTAGGATATCAGAAATCAAAAAGTTAAAACATCAGAATATTATAACATTGTAACTTCAGAATGAAAATCATTAAGGTGTGATGAGATTATCCAAATGCACACATCTCTTTTTTTCGCCGGATATTGTCGGTCGTTCAGAGAGAGAGAGAAAGCTTGCCCTTTGGAAGCGTCCAAAAGCCACATGATCCGACTAACTTTTTATTCTACCAC